TTGTCACATAGAACAGAATGGAATGAGTCAAACACGTCCATTTCTGATGGAACAATCATGTAAACAAATATTTTTATTTGAAAAATGTTATTTTTTGAATGTGAGGTAAAACATTCATTCATCATTCACTTTAACCCTCAGCCCCCTGTGAGTATCCCCCCGAACAGGTGCCCTCACAGAGGGTAACGTTTCGGACGAAACATTACTCCGAATCGTTCGCCAGTTGAACATCGGGGGCGAGCGGGTTAACGCCCCTGGACGGATCGCCAGCATGTCACAGGGGGAACACCACATTGGTGCGTTCAAACCAAGAGCGTTTGGAGCATCAGGTGCGTCTGGTTTACATTCACAGTCTATGTGGAACGTCATAAAAACGGTCGAAATGGTTCAAATTATGACACACTGGACGCCCTCAACGCGCCTCCACATGAACTTTGAATGTAAACCAGATGGGCCAGGCATCTGTGATGGGAATGTCCATTTCTTGGTTCTGGTTGATATTCAATGAAAGCTCAACATTTGGTCATACATTGGTCAAAAAGATCCAAATGTTGGATCTTTATGACCTACATTTGATCATGGACACACATTTTTTTTCTTTGTTTGACCATCAACTGCAAATATTGTTTAGATCTTTCCCATAAATGATGGAGGCCATCACCACAGGTTTATCATCAAACCACTTTGTGACAGTCAGCTAAGATGCTCCCTTCTGTTCACAGTGGCCTATCTTCTGGTAAATGGTGTGGCTTTGGTATTCTTTGGTTCATCATATTGGTTCCAGTTGCTGGAAGACCCTTTGAGAAGTTTGCAGAACTTTTTCCTCATCATTTTCCTGCTAATAACTGGCACTTTTGATTTTTAGTCCAGAAGATTTTGACTCTGAGAAAGCCAAGATAGGCCATGTGTGCTGATATTCTGAAGAAAGTCCTTGTTCATGTGTGTAATTTTATACTTCTATCATGTTCAAAATAAATAAAAATAAACAATTAAGTAAAAATAAATAAAGTCTTCATTCTTGGGCAATAGTGTTTAGGAACACCCCTGCAGTTCGCAGCCATTTTTATTTTTTATTTCAAGTAAGCAATAGACTGCAACCAGAAATGGATAACTTCTGGTTATTAAATGTATTTTTCAAATTTTACCTCTTCTTGGGTTAATGTGATTCATTAATCTATAATCTGTACATTTTCCTTTTTTGTTTAATTACGTCATAATTTAGACTGAAATTGTCCTGATGTCCACTACATTGGACATGCTGTGAAATTTAAATAAAAAAAATATAAAATAAAAAAAATAATACTAAGGTGTTCATTTTGACCTAAATGGGTAGGAAATCACATAAATACAGAAACTGGAAGACACTTTTTTTCTTCAGTTCTCAGGAGGATCTACATAGGATGTGCAAAGAAATGCTCCAAAAACAGAAAAAGATAGGACAAAAACAGAGCAAGCAGGGAGGGCAGGGAGGGAGCAGAAGAAAAAAGCATCCTCCTTCAATGAGAGTAACCTCCCCTTCTCGAGCAATCATTTTCCACTGATTATATCAGTATACATCCTGTCACGCACCTCTATGGGAACATGAAGGAGGGAGGATGCAAGGCCTCATTGAACAACAGACACAGAGTCAGCTGGCCTTGTGGCATTTCCCCTTGCTGGGCCTTTTTCTTTGGCTTTGTGTTGATCTACTTTACTCCAGTAGATTTTAACACCAGCACAATCTTTTTCAACCTGGGATTCCCCTTTTACTAATTGATCCATGGTGGTGACTGTAACACGAAGACAGCCTGCTATCTTTGGATTGCAGTTGCTTAAAATCCTCCTCACAGGAACTTCCGGTTATGGCTACCCACGAGTTCATCATGCTTAACTCTGTTCCATAAAAATCCTGAATAAATATGGGTATAGACAACTAACTATTTCTTGAAGCGGACCTAATTGATCCAGACAATTACTAAGGGTAGCATGTAGAGGAAGTATTGGGGATGACTGCTGATCTGACATTTGTGGTTTTACGTACTTTTATTGTTGTTTTTATTGTTATGTCCTTTTTATTGTTGTACTGCAGTTTTTGGCCCCTGCTTCCTGGATAAATTTCTCCTACGGGAGACTAATAAACTGTCTGTCTGTCTGTCTCTCTCTCTCTCTCTCACTCACCTGGAATCAACAATGCCAAGTAAGCAGAATAAGGATAAGATACAGATGCTGGCACAAGCAAAGTTAACTAACTTTGGGATGCAGAGCATAGAGCATGAGACTAATGAGGAAGCTAATGCTAGCTAACAGCAACGCAGAATTTCCAGGACATGGTAAAGCTGAATTGACTGATGCCAAAGACGAAATTCTAACTACAATAAAGAGCTTGAAAATTACTTTTCGACCCGACTGGATGCCATCATGGAGAAGAAGAAAAAACTGGCTGACTGCATCGAAATAATCACACAGGCGGAGGTACAGGTATCGGCAGTTGAAGATGAGCATTCTGAGTTATGGGAACTAGTACAAAGTTTGAAAGGAATGAATAAAATGTTGGAAGATAAAGTGATAGACATGGAGACAACATCCTGGCTACATAATTTGAGGCTGGCGGGATTGCCAGAGGGTGCTGAAGGACAGGAACCCTGCTCCTTTCTAGAGCAGTGCATACTGGAGGCATTCGAGGTGGCCCCTCTGCAGAGCCCTATAGTGATGGAGTGATGGACCAAAAATAGGAGGCGGAGCCCCGCCGAGAGCTTTAATTATGAAGTTCCTGAACTACAAGTAGATGGTGGTTATAGAAGCAGCAAAAACAAAGAAGGACATCCTCTACAAAAAAATTCAGGTGCAGTTCTACAATGATCTTGCCACTGAAGTCCATAAGCAGCGGAGAGGTTATGTCGCAGTGCGGCAACAGGTCCAAAAGATGGGTCGCAAACACGGCATAATACACCTTGCTAAACTTCTAACAACTCAGGGATCAAACGCATACACTTGCACAACCCCATGGATGTGCAAGAGTAAGAGTGTTTAGGTTTAAGTTGTAGAATCCCACTTGATTTATATGTATCAGTGCAATGGGGAAATAGCGCCCCCCTCTCTGTGTGGCTGGGTATATGTTGCTGGCTCCTGTACTTGTGCAGACAATGTGCTGAGTGAAGCTGAGTCGTTGCACTGACTCGAACCCCGATATGTTCTCATTCAGGAAATAAACTGCCTGATCACCCAGAAACTCCCCGTCTTCATTCAAAAACTACACAACGCAGAGTTGAAGGGTTACTTGGGCCGGCCTGGTACAGTGGAGTGAAACAGAACCCGGTTACACAAGCATTTATAAACAAGATTAAAGGGTAACCAATAAGTGTAGGTGGGTGATTTAAAAGCTAAATAATACTGAATGTTTACTTTAGATCAGTGGTCCCCAACCTTTTTACCACCACGGACTGGTCAAGGCTTGGCAATCTTACTGCGGACTGGGGGGAAACTGATCCTCCTGTACTGTGAGGTGTATCATGACTGATCTGGTCCAGTCGGTAGAACACTGGGACCGCTCTAATCTAAGATCGAGCATATCGACATTGTTTTGGCCAAACTTTCGCAGCCTGTGGGGATTTCCCTGACAGGGAGAGAGAGGCAGCCTGTTAAATGTGACAGGTAGCCAATCAGACAGCGCGGTGAGAATGAAGGGGAATCCCAAACGTCGCACAACTGAGAGCCTGTTTAATGCAGCAAATAGAGCAACTGCTCACACCATCATTTATCCAAAGCCTTTTTTTTTGTTACCTCTTTTATCGCTTAAAATGAGTCCACAAACTATTGCTTCAGCATCGTCATCCGTGTTTGTTTATTCTAAATTCACATAAGGTATGTTGGGGATTTTACGAGATTTCCTTCTGTAATTGGGATGTTCGTGACTGGAATCAGTTCATGTGGGGTGTGTTGCTCCTGCCGTGTGACTGGACACAAGAACCGATCGAACCCCTTGTACATCAGCTTGTGTGTCACAGAGGTTTGGAAAATCAACCGACAATTCTTAAATCATGCCGTGTGAACCAGATTTAAGACTCATAAGCTCTACTCCTCTCCTCTCAACCCTAATGCTCTCCGACTCTGGTCGCTATGGTAACGTTTACATATCCCTTCAAAATAAGATAGATGCGCCACAAAAATTAACATGCAATAACGACTAATGGGAGCCCTGAGCTTGTTTCTCTGCAGCGAGACAGTTCCATCTGGGAGTGATGGGAGACAATGACACCCGAGGTGTGTTGCTTAAGCACAGGATGCTTGGTCTCGACGTGGCGAAGCAGTTTGAAGGCTTCATTGCCTCATTATCGTACCGGTCACCGCATATAATGCATGTAATGCATTATGCTGCGTTGCTGAGTGTCGCTGCAAATCAGTCGAGAAATGACCGCAGCTGCTGCGCTCCAGACCGTAATATGGAGAATCTCCCCACTGGACTAGAACCGAACCGAATCACACATTAACAGCAAACAAAAAGGCAGGTGCTCCAGGACAAAAAAATGAAAGAAAACAGAAGGTTAAAATAATAGCAAATATTGTAAATGTGATAGGAGTTCATTTCTAATGCATTCCAGATGCAAAAAGGTTTTTAAATCTCTCATTACAGAAGTTTCATAATTCAGCTAAAGGTTTCACAAATCACAAACTAGGTTTCAAAAATTCTGCCATTGGCGTAGAATAATCTGCTCCAGATCTGAAGTGTCGATGTATGTTTATTTTTAAAGCACAACAAATGATTTCTTAACACCCATGCCTAGGTGGGTCCCATATGGGGAAAAGGAAGGGAGACCTGATGGGCCCCATATGGGTTTGTCCACGGGTTCCATGGTGGCCCCACATGGGTTTGCCCATGTAGGGCCACAGCCTACGTGGGCCCTACATGGGCACTAAATGGGCAAACCCATGTGGGCCCACCGCCATGTCGGGCCCATGTTGGCTGTGGCCCTACATGGGCAAACCCATGTGGGGCCGCCGTTGTTCAGCAATTGTACTGTTCAAAAAAAAAAATCTGAACAGAAAATGTTCAGCAAATACATCTGAACCTCCGTTATAATCTCCCTTTAGCCATTTCCCAAGTCAGAAGCTACAATCGGAAGTCAACTTAAGCTACGATCCAGTCAGTCAGGAAGGCCGCCACAGCTAGAGGACCAGCCTGACATCTCCTTCTGTGCAGTCCCGTTCTGTTTAGGATCCTGCTCAGAGTATGTATGCTATTAATGGTTTTAACCACAATGCAAAGCAGCATCCGTATCTCCACATGTTGTAGACCAAACATGAAAGGAAACCTGACCAATTCATGTTAGCCACTGTACTAGCCTAGCATAATACTGTCACTTCCTGGACATAAAATTATCACGTTTATACAAGATACGTATCACGTTATAACGTGATAGTGTAACCCAGCTGTATTTTATTTGTTTGTTCTGTGTTATTTGCTTTTCTGTATTGTTTGTATCTTATGGGTAGTGTCCCTTTAAGAGCAAAGCACGACATCACTTTACGGCAGCGTTCCGACTGCAGTTACTAGGGAAACTCCCGGGCTTTAGAGTTTCAGAGCTGCTGCGGAGTAGAGACATGCCAGTCTCTGCCGTCCTTCTGCATAGCGCTTGACTTCTTTATGCCTGATATATGATGTTTTCCTGCTAGGTGAGCATTACTGGAGATTTGTAATGTCGTATGTGCTCTTAATTTTATGTACCAAGTCGTCGCTAATTCTGTAATGTTTTAGAAACCAAACTCCTGTTTTACCGTGGGTATTGTGAGTTAAAATGACTGTCGAGTTTGTCGTGTTAAGTGACATATTTCATTTTCATCTATGTTCATGAGGTCCTTATTATTTTATGGAGTTATATTCCTGATAAAGAATCTTACGTGCTGTTTTAAAATGGAGCACACCGCTCTTGGTTACTAGGGAAACTCCCGGGCTTTAGAGTTTCAGAGCTGCTGCGGAGTAGAGACATGCCAGTCTCTGCCGTCCTTCTGCATAGCGCTTGACTTCTTTATGCCTGATATATGATGTTTTCCTGCTAGAAAGGGACACTGGGAAGGTGCTCCTGTGCCTGCGGAGGAAGAGAGAGAGGCCGCGGAGTTTCTGTGTCTGTGGACATCGGCTGCCGTCGTCATTCTGGGTCGCCATCCCAGCCAGGACAACCTCTTTCATCGTTTTGTACGAATCAGACACACACACAAATATAGAGCTCTATATGAACTTTTTTTTTTTGCTGGCCAGCTACTTTTAATTAATTTTTTTTCTTTTTACCAAGGACCCTGAAAGGATTCTTTATAATCGAAGTATTTTTTTTTTCTCTTTGTGGGTTTTTCCAGGAAAACTGTATGACAGTGTTGAGACGAAGTTGGATGTGTTTCAGTCCAGTAACTTGTAATAAACATAACTGGTTGATAGTAAACTGCTATCTGAACCCGAGTAGATTCTGTTCTTTGGTTACAATAGCGCTCAAATTTTTTTTCCCTGCGTGATAGCATACATACTCTCACCCATAGACATAAATACGTAGACACCTCATGGGGCGGGTCGGCCCATTGCTGCGATACGTAACAGCGTCCGCCATATTGAATGTGGAATATGTGCCAGTAAGCTAATACAGGTAAATTGACCGAACTTTACAAAGTGCCGTTCTACAAAGTATTTTAAGTTAATACCTGTCATTGACACATTTTCTCACACACATTAATACATTTGGCAATCAAAGAAATGACTAAAGACAGAGTTTCTAACTTTTGATGTGATTGTTTTGGGGCATTTCTGAATAAAGAGCACAATGTTTTTATTTGATAGAAATGATTCTGATAATTTTTATAATGACATTGATGAACAGACACACTTTTACAGTGTTTTATTGAAGAATATATTTACATAATTCCATAATTTAATGTATATTTAACGTTTCAAGACAAACAAATAATTTTCTTGTATTTATTTTTTATACATTGAGAAATGTCTTTTGATTTATGAATCAGTCATTGTCAAACATTAAACTACATATTTTTCTTACTTTTTTCCAGATAAAAAATATTTATTACAGTATACATCAACTCTGCTATTGACAGCAAAGAGAGAAAATAATTCTAACAGAGTAAATTATTTTTATTTCATTACATAAGCTGTATTAATACACTAATATTCAGATTGAGATATATTATAATACACAAAAAGTTAAAAAATAAAACATTTATTTATTATAGTGGGAACACTGGCCACAGGGCTTCAGTCTGCTGGTCACACTGGGAGAACTCAATGACTTCTGAGACGTCCTGGTTCACAGGCTGAAGCCTGTGTTCACACAAAACCAGTGTGAACCAGTGTTCACACAAAAGTGTAATAGAAAATACATATATGTTTCCTTCACATTCAGAAAGACATTTTCAGCATGTTTGGCTCTGACTCGTAGCATCTTTATAGCTAAATCCCGACATGGTGAAGCTGAGCTGGAAACAGACTGAAGAACAGCAGCTCCAGCTCTGATCCTGACTGATCTTTCCTCACTAAATCCTCTGGTTTTTAATGAACTTCTCCTCTAACAGCGGTTTCTCATCACCTCTCTCTCATTGGAAAACACAGTGTGAAAACGTTAGCTGGTATGCTAACAATCAGCGGTTACTTCGGGCCAATTAAGCTACATAGGAAATATTTCTGGGTTGTTTAGAAGCGAATTTCTAGCTCCAAAGTCAAGTAATTCTGATCTTTCATCCTTACCTGTGGAAGGTAATGGCAATGAATCCAATTTGTTTCGTAAAACAGTTGAAACAAGTTCACACAGCACAGGAGCTCCGATCGCCCTGCTGCCACATAGAAGATGGCGGACGCTGTTACATACGACTCAGCCATAGACATAATATAAGGATAGACCCTCATGGACNGACTAGACGATTATTCCAAAAACTTTCAGCATAAGAAGATGGTTTCAGCCGTCTAGCATGAGATAAAACAATAGAAATCAGCCTTGAATGGGACAATATCACACCTCACCAATAGATACTGTTAGGTTTTTCGTGGAAGAGCTGTCCTCACCAAAAATGTTTTGTTTTTTTTGTTTGTTTTAATCTTTAATGTACTTGACATTTATTCACTTTGCATTTCCATGTTATTACACCAAATCATTTGACTCATTTCTTTGCATCTGTAAATGATTTTGGCTCTTACCAGCTTCTGGAATTGATTTTATGTCAATAATCACATTAGAAATAAATTTATAAAAAAAAGTCATACTTTAATTGTTCGAATACTCAAATATTCAAAACTATTATCCTGTCCTTCCATGTGTGTTTGAACAAGAATTTCTACCAAAAAAGTATTTGTTTAAAATTTTCATGATGTTTTGTAGTATCAACATTTCTCAACTCGACTCATAAATACAGCATTGAAATCCAATATTTTATTTTAAACATACAAATGTAAGTTTTATTCATTTTGTCCAGAGCATAAAAGCCACATGCTGTGCTTCTTTTTAAACAGCGATACAGCCGTGTTACGTCGTCGTCGACCGCTGGAATAGTTCGTTCAGGCTGAAGATTGGCTGAGAGTGTGAACGTGTGTCTGAACTTGCTGAGCGAGTGTGAGAGGAAGGATGGATAAAGGGAATGGTGCAGATAATAGGTGGCTCTATCTGCAGGTGAGAGACGAGGAGGTGCAGAGGGAAGTGAAAGAGGATAGATGGATGGACTGGAGCAGCAGGATAAGTGTAGATAATGGCCAGACATAATATCCGGCAGACAGAATAGAGAAGAGTGACAGAGAGGGGGAAGAAGAGAGAGAGAGCAGGTTGGGTGAAGCACATCATGGAGGGAACCAGGGGTGAATGAAAAGGAAAGAAGGCCCATGTAGCGATGAAGATGACAGACATCAGAACGAATTGGGACATGTGCTTGAGACCTGCGGTGGGGATAGATAATCAGAATTTACATCAGAGATGTTGCATTCATGAGCACAGGAGAGCAGAAATCAAAACTTGCGAGAACTACGCTAACTTGGTCTAAAGAGTGGATAGAAGACGCTTTTTCAGTCATTGGCTCTGACGTTTGAAATGTTGAAACTCAGATAAATGTTGCGCACATGTTGATCAGATTACAAAATGAAAAGGGAGATCAGTTATATAATAAGACACTTGAACAAGTTTACAGTTCCCTCTGATAGCCTTTCTTGGCTTATTTCTAAGAAAATAAAAAATCAAGGACAAGAAAAACAACATAAAGCTATTGATATTCTACCTGTAAATGACGGGAGAAAACAAATAAATCCAAGCAAACTGTTGTTCCGATGCACCTCAGTCAAGACCACAGACCGAAAATCTTGCCTGCAAGTTAATAATACTTTAGGTCAGACTATGACTTTCATCACAAGAAAAGATTGCTCAAACATGTATATGTAGTGCCAAACACAAAGAGCTTCTGTTCAAAATCAGGTTATTTTGTCAGAGATGAAACAATGAAACTGTACAACGCTCACACACTCTGGCCTCGGCGTGTCGTCGCTCTGGAGTTCGATCAGCTCCATTCGCAGGTTCAAAGGTGCTCTTTCCACATCGATGGCGAACCGATTACCGAGAAGTTGAAACCTAATTTTCTGGCCGTTAAAGTCTGCAAATCGCAGAGTGAGCTCGGCGCTAAGTGTTTTCCATTTTTCAGCAACATATGAGCTGACAAAGAGGTAAAAGTTTGGTCTGTCATGGATTGGCCACATGGAAGGAAACTGCAGTATTTCTAAGCATCTGCAGCTCTGCATCTCCCTCAAGTGTTTCTCAGTGGACATTCAGAGGCAGCAGGGAGCCATCAATCAGCTTGTGATTTTCTGCTTTTGGGTGTGACAGTATAATGTATTTCTTGTGTGTTGCGTTTTAAAATATTTCAGCCTAGTTTCACACTTGCATAATGATGTACATTTGCATGTGTTGCTTAAGTTGTGCATCCTGTCCAGGTTATTTCCATTCGGTGCACAAGCCGCAGCTTGGGCTTGTTGTTCAGTCTCCTTTGGGGCTTTGTCATATGTTCACCCGGAACTTTCCGGAAGCCACAGATTTACTGTTTTGCTTTTCTTGAACTTATTAATAAACATTAAGTTAGTAATTAGCATTAAGACGACAGAGCTGGTGATTTTAAAAAGATTTAGAACGATCAATCTCTGCATTTTGATACATCAGCAAATAGATATTATCCTTCACCTCTATTTGACAGCAAACTTTTAAGATTTTTTAGTTTCTGCTGCTGTGTGGTAACAGCTGTGTACCTCTTATTCATTAATGATGCATGTCTGTGTTTCTTTATTTATGGCTGCACACAATTTAGCTTTAGCTTTTCTGTCTGAAATCTCATGTATCAGAATCCGTCTTCAGTTTGTTCATCATCAGACTGATGGGGGAAGGTGGCTTTGCAGACGTCTATTACCATGACAATGTACCACCTGGTTCAGTGCATTCTGGGAATTGCTGTATTTGTGGTATCTACTATACTGCACACCCAAGGGCAAGCTTTGTGACATTTTCAATACGATCTCCGAGGCCTGATAAAGTTGCCAAATCTTTCCCACGGGCCTTCAATTTGAAACAGTTTAAAGTTTATGCTCTAACGAGATAAATAGGAAGCAGTAAAACGGTTAAAAGTTCCTACGTCCTGCGTGCTATATGTACATTTGAACTCACTTTGAACACACATTGTTTAGTGGCATTCAGGGGCTACTTCTGCATACCTGGTGACATATTGAATGCAAATTTAACACTCTTAAGTGCAAAGTGTTGCTTCCAGTTGGATGTCATTGAGACAGAGTCCGGCTCGTAATTCAAGCACATGTCTTACCCATGACACATAATCTGATTCAAATGAGTTTACAGTACGATCCACTGACAATGACAGGCCTCTGAGAGACACACAGAGAGAGAGAGCTGAGGCCTACAGAGGAGAAGGGGAGAGGATGGAGACAGCAGTAGATGGATGTATTGATAGAGAGCACTGGAGGGACAAGTTTAAAATATGGTTCGACATGATGTCTGGCGACGGAAAGGAGAGGAGGGCTGGAAGAGAGACATGAGTGGGTAGAGAAACAGAGGAGCTGAGCATAAATGATGAGATAGGTCTAATGTGTGGAGGAGTAGCGGAGGACATGTGAGAGTAGAAGGGGAAAATAGATGGATGGTGGGAAAGAGTACAAGGATGAATGTGGTGAAGAGGGAGGCTGAGAGGGAGAGATGGATAGATGGACAGTGGAGGAATGAGTGTAGATAATGGCTAAACCTAATGTCTGGAGGGCAGACATCCATCTGACTGACCGAATTATAGTCAGGCTCACTTTCTACCGACTAATTACTGGAACACAGGATACTCTCTCTCTCTCTCTTTCCCTGCCAGTGGCTTTGTCTTTCTCTGTATCTAAGCACTCAGGGTGGATCAGAGAGCTTACCAGAGGGCAGGA